CATGGCCCCTCTCGCGCTCGTCATCGCCTACACGTTCATCCTCTTTACGGTAAGCTTTACCGAATATGCTGACATTCCTTGTAGTCTAACTTGATCTACATATCGCGCAAGATGAACTACCTGATCAAGCTGGCCCTGTGCGGGTTCTTGTTGTTCTTTGCCTGCCTGTCGATGACGTCGCTCGGCTTCCCGTACAAGTATTCCCATGAGAACCCCAGGCTTCGCCGGATTATTGCGCTGGTATAGTTAGCCTTGATTAAGCTGTTACAGGCTCTTTAGCATGCCTCTCGTAGCGTCCACGACTTCTCGGGTGCCCGTACTGCTCATGACACCGGGCTCTTCATCCAATCCTTGGACTATCGCGGTGTGGCTGACCTTCCAGCCCATTCTTTCCTCTCGGTTTGTGTTCATACTATTCTATTTATTAGATCCATTTCTAGGGCAGTGAGCCTCCAAATTGCGATCATACCAAGGACGAATATTGTCAGCTGCCTTATTATACGGCCATCCATGAACTGTTCCCACCAAGGTAGAAAATACTTTCATTGCTTTGAAGTATCAAAAAATTTATATTTTTTATTATTAGACAAAGTGTGTAAGGTTTTACGTTTATGAATAACAAAAAAAAGATCCCGTTTTAGTCACTCCCGCTGGATCGCCGTCCCCGCCTACCCCAAGGTCCCGTACCCTATCGATGTGAAGCTGGTGGACCGCGAGCGAGTCGGCGACACGAAGCTGCGCCTCTATTTTGAGCTTCGCGGCGGCTACGACAAGATGTCGCTCCACGTGACCCCGCTCGGCAACTACGAGCTGTCCACCTGGTCGTTCACCCCGATGAATTTGGAGACGTTCGGGCGCCGCACCACCTACTTCGTCTTCATGACGTACGGCGCCGAGCGCCCTGAAGTTCGGAAGTTCTGGATTGAGCTTGAGGATGTCGGTTTTCGGGTTTTGATTCAGTGTTGTTTCTTTTTAGAACAAGTCGGCCACGCTGCCCGATCCCGAGAAGGAGCCGAGTCTTGAGCTGGCCGTGGCTTCACATCATGCTCATGGTAAGTTTTCCGACACGCGCGATCATTTTTTGAAATTGAGTTTGCCGGAATTCGCGCTCTCGGCAGCAGTTTTCGAAAATCCGTGTGTGGGAAAAATTGCCTTTATATTTCTTACCTGTTACCTCGATTCAGGTCCTCACCAACACTCCGAGACGCTGATGCAGCTCCGCGAGTTGATCAAGAGCCGTCGTCAGGGCCCGCAACAGGTGAGTGCTACTCCTTTTAAATCCACCTCCTTTTTTAGGCCATCGGCTGGTGGCGTTGGGGCATCACCATGGTTGGCGGCAACTCGGAGATCGTCATCCACAAATATTAGGCAACCAAATTGCACGCTCTGCATTTCTTTGATGCTCTTTCTCTTTATCTCGCTAACCCCTTGCTGCCACCCCAACTCCTTTCGAGCTTATGGGTCCCCCTTCCGTTCCCGGCACAAAGACATTCCGTTTTGTTGTGATAGTCACTGCACTGTGATCGACCAGTATTTGTCGAACGAGTCCTCTCCCTCTTTCTCCCCCGAATGCTCCAGGTACATTATCAGCAAATAGTCTACTATGCAATTCAAACTGTTCGTCTCCCTGCCCCGCAGCTTTTACCGTTGTTTACCAAAGTTATTTATTCTTGCTCCAGACACTTGTTACTGATTACTCTTAGGCGAGGAGCATAAATTGTTGTTTCGAAGTTATCTGGTACAGCTTAAAAGAAAGATGGCGACAAAGTTAGGAGGGTTATCCAAAACCTCAAAATTTACTCACTAATTTCCCTGTCTAGAACTTCGAATCGTTAGTAGCGGAACCAGATGCAATTAATTAGCATGCAATCTGACGTATAAAAAAACCTCGGCCCTATCATCTGGCCATATCAGCGTGGTTGAACTTCCTCGTCGACGAGCCGAATCCCCAGCAATGGCTGACAAGAGCGCCTTCGTGCCCGTCGACGTCGGTGGCGGCTCGAACAAGCCGAACGAGCTCGACATCGACATTGACGATGAACTCTTCGGCAAGGGTGCCAAGGCCCCAGCGAAGGTCAGAAATGTTCATCAAACCGTCAAAGTCGAAAATTACAGCCCGCCGCCGCTCCGCCTCCCCCGGTTGCCGCTCCCCCGCCGCCGCCTCCTCCCCCGCCAGCCAGTAAGAAGATTGAGTACAAGAAGCCCGCCGCCTACAAGAAGACGTACGCTTACAAGAAGTGAGCCGCTGCCCGCGTCACCTCGGCAAACACAATTACGCCTATAAAACCGATTTATATAACACGAGCACTTTTGTGTGAATAAAGCCTCCGGGACAGTTGTAATTCGTCTATCTGCGCACTTTCCATACAGCAAATTCTTGCCTTCCTTTTACCCGTGCGATGTGGTAGGCAGCTTTCATAGTTGAGTTCATAAGTGTTAAAATTTTATTGCAATAAGATAAGAACGATATAGGGCCCCGGAAATAACAACATACAACGATGCACAAGTAAGCGGGGGCCAAGCAAGTAATTCTGGCGAGGACAACCATTGCAAATTAGGTGAGATCAAGTGAAACAGACACAGGTAGTCCTAATGGTCAACGGCCGGCCCCCCGGATGGCTTCGTGCCTACTGGCTGCTTGGGGACCTTCTCGGCAGCGGATCTCTTCGCCGCGCCCGACGGCTTTGCAGGGACCTAGAAGAAACAAGATTCAACAAACTTTTAAAAAAATTGCCTCCTGTTCTTTGCCAGCGTTGAGAAACTTGTTGACAGTGGCAGGGGCAGCAACGAAGACTACCTAACAAGAAATTAAGCTCTCGGAAAGCAAGAACCCACCTCGGCGGTCATCTGCAAACAATTGTCAGGAACCGGTCGCTTGTCGTGGGAAAGCTCGGTCGCAGCGCGGAGAGTGATGCGACGGGGCAGCACGCCATCCTTGAGGAACAGTTGTTGGGCGGTAGGACGATCCGCAGCGGCCACGAGCTTCTCCAAAGGCGTTTCGCCGACGCCTTCGCTGTCCGGTGCGCGCAGGACCTTCACGGCTTCAAGGGCCTTCTTTTGAGCGTCCATTGCGCGTCGGTAATGTTTATCTTTCGACGAGCCCTTAGTAGCCTGAAACAAAATCTGAGAAAACAGGACCATCTTACCTTCACACCAATCTTGATTAGGTCTTCGCGGCTATATTGTAGATGGCCGTCCTTTGTGTTTCCGGCGTCACCAGAACCCTCCAGAGCCATAGCTTTGTCAAACTTATTTTTGTTCTTGGCTCCACCGCGTCGGCGCCAGAGCAGATACGGGCTTCCACGGATCTGGATCAAGGAAATTTTGAGCTGAAGTCCCAAAGCTTACCAGCCAATTATCGCGCTCCTTGATCTTCACGACGACCAAATCGCCATCAGCGGCGCGGTTCCTGTCCGGAATGCCAACGATGACAATGTCCTTCTTCTCCACCCCGTCCTCTTGTTCAAGAACGGCCTCCTCGAGCTTAGGGCCCTGGATGCGAAGCGTGCCCTAAACCAACATAAACCACCATGACCCATTTGTGATACCTTGCACAACATAGATTTCGGATCCTTGAGTGCGCGATCGACTGCACTGGAGGTCATGTAGGCATCTTGAGGCTTGCGCGCCTTCGAAACAACATGGCCAGGACGACCCTTACCCTCGCTAAACCTTGGTTTTCGGCCAACCGGTAATATAGTGTACCGAATCTTCGGGCCCTGGAGCGGGATTGAAAGCAGCTCGGCAGAACTCGGAGATCGAGGCGGCGAGGGGTTGGCGAACGGATCACCATGGCCCGGGCCATTCCACTTCCACGGCACGAGCGGCTGGAACGGGCTATGCTCAGCATAGGGACGACGACGTTCCTGGCGCTGGTAGCCGTTACGGCCAGCATCACGCAGCATGTCTAAACGAGAGTAATCACGCACGCGCCAAAATTCTTACGAAGAAGACGAAGCATGTCGGTGTCGCCTTGCGGTCCAAAGGCCGCCTGCATAGAGGTTTGGAACGGCTCAGGGCGATAGACCGACGAATTGGAACGAGTGCTGTGCGATGGCGTAGCCGCTCCTGCAACGAAAATACAGAACTACGTATATATACCTATTACAACAACAAAGCTAATTAGGCAAAAGCAAAACGTACCACGAGCACTATGCTGGGCAGAGAAGGCGGGCATGTACGGGCCCAGCGCATCATAAGTGGGGTTGCGGCCGGAGGCTAGCTTCAGCTGCTGAAGAAAGGCGCTTTGCCTCGGTGGCTCGGCGGGGGGCTGCAGGTTGACGCCCATCAGCTCCTCGATGGAGACCGGACCGGTGCGCAGAGCGGGGAAGACTTGAGAACTCTTCGTGCGCTGTTGCTCGGTGCGGCATTGGTTGAGCAGAGCGAGCTCCTCATTGCTGAGCTGACGCGCGGAGCGGCCAGATTGCTATAAAAAACTAGTTGAATAAATCCGACTAGGATACCTGCTGGGGATAGCGTGAACCGAAGAACGCGTTCGACATTTCCGCCCGGCTGTAGTCGGTAGGTTGAAAGCCGTAAGAATCCTGAGACATGCGCATCTTCGAGCAAAAGCGGAGAGGAGGTCAACCTGAAAAAACAGGATCGATGGAGTTAGCGGAAGGAATGAAGGAACGATAAGGCATCAAAAACGTTGTAGGAAACAAAATTGCAGAAAATGAAACCCCATGAAACAGGGCAAGTAATTGATGAAGTTAGAGGAAATACGAAAGACAAAGGATCGTGAAACTACTAGAACAAAATTGACAAAAACGCCGGAAAATGAAAATGCGAGAAAAAGCAGGAACCACCCTCCCTGAATCAGGGGAGGTAGCTACGGTAAGATCCGTAAAGTGGTGCCACGCGGAACGCGCCAAAAACTTTTTCTTTCGAACTAATTTTGAAAGTTTGCCTTTATCATAATAAAAGTTCGCTATTCGAGTCTAAAAAATTATTTTTTCCTTTTAAGATTCGTTAGAGCTTGATCAATCCAGGCCGCCGCCATGACGGATGCCATGCGCGAAATGATAGCCGGGCTGATGGGAGATCAACGGGCCCGGGAAGAAGGTAATTTTTTATATTCAACCAATTATCTCATCTAGGTCGCAACCTACCACCATACGACAGCCCCACCGTCTGCCGGGCTTACCTCCTCGGCTGCTGCCCTGGCTACAATTTGCTGGATACGAAGTGAGCCTCGCAAAAATATCTGGGATTTTGCGCCTAGGCTGGAGTCACTGGTCGTTTGTCGCAAGATGCACGAGCCGGCGCATAGGGCAGACTATGAAGCTGCGCAAGCCAAGAAAGACCATTTTTATGATATAGACGTGAATTTGTTTTTTCATTAAATTCAATCTCGATTTTAGCTCTATCAGGCACTCGAGGGCGCAGTGCGCGCGGTCGATGGTGATGTGGCAGTCACGAGGCGCAGACAGGATCAGCAGATCCGCTCGGAAAACGAGATGTTCGAGTCGGATAAGGTATCGTTTTCAATTCTAGATTTTAAAGCCGTTGTAGGCGCAAAAGCTCCGGGGCATTGACGCGCAAATCAGCCGCCTGCTCGACGAATCTGCACAACTAGGAGCGCAAGGCCGGGTCGGGCAAGCAATGATTTGCGCGAGACAGGTCGAAGAGTTGGAGGATCGTAAAGCGATGGTTGAGGTGAGTTTCACCCTTTTTCACTTTCTATGTTGACACCTTATATATAGAGCGAGGCACTTCGACCGGTGTTCCACATGACGATGCGCATGCGCGTCTGCGAAGATTGTGGAAGCCAGGTGTGAGAAGCTTCCTAACTATATAATTTTGCCCAGCTGAATATCATGGACCATGAGACTCGCGTGTCCGACCACTTCGGCGGAAGGTTGCATTTGGCGATGGTTGAAGTGCGCAGCCGGCTGGCCGAACTGAAGGTATTTATTCGTATAGGTTTTTTCAACGCTCTTTTTTAGGATACGATTGAACAGCGGCGCAAGGAGGACAAAGAAAAGAGGTTTTCCCCTTATTATTACCTAAATCGATGTTTTTCAGACGCTCTACCGATACGCGTGACCGCGGCGACCATGGCCGTGATCGAGAGCGCGAGCGCCGTAGAAGCCGTTCGCGTTCCCGTGACCGTCGCAGAAGGTATTTGATTCTTTTCGCATTAATTTCGTGTTTTAGCCGCTCCCGTGAGAGTCGCCGCCGCCCATCTTCGCGAGATCGCCGCGACCGCCACCGTGATGATCGTGACCGCCCTCGCCGATAGAAGCTCTAAATTTTGCATGGATTTTGAAACATGTTGGCTTTTATTCCTAGGTGTTTCTTTCTCAACAGTTGTGATTAACATGCTTGTATGTCTCGTTTGGATTTGTTGCAATAAATTTGTCTGTTTTGTACATAAAAATACGAAACCAAACCGCTTCATTTTGCGCGGTAGTTACATTTGAGCTGTCGAAAGGTGACATATAAGGCCACGCAACGCATTTTGGCACAACTCCCGGTCAACACCATAAAAGGGCCTGCTGTTTGCCGTGGTATGCTAGCCAGTTTGATCGCCGTGGCCCCCGCCTAATAATTCTCTATTTGTGATGCTCAAAGGTGCGGCTGGGTCGGCTCAAAAATGTCGATGTAGTCTATGTGCCCGTTTCACGCCATCCCCCCCGCGGTGGGCCCTGACCCCCATGTCGCCGTGGTGTTTGGACAAATATAACACAGGCGAGGCCCGGGCAGCATTTTGTGACTTGTGCGCCTCTTTGAAGAGGCAGTGGCATTTCAAGCGTTGTGCAATATTTAGCCATGTTGTAGACGCGGAGAGTGATGATGGTTTAGGGTACAATTCAGGTACGAAGAATGAAAAAATACACTGGTGGTGTTGAAGGTACATTCAAGCAAAGTTCCCCCGTTCGGGATGATGGGTCAGTATTGCGGGGGCGTCCATGGAAATGTAGTGAATTGAAACGGCATTGAAAAAATTTTGCAACTCTGGAAAACGTGTGGAACGTGAATTTTCGAAAGATGATGAATCTAAGATTTGAGCTGGACAAAAGGTGATAAATCGAGGGCGTTTCCATAAGTCTAAAAGTTTTTTAGGGAATTCTGCTCCAGTTCATAATTTGATATTCGTCTTTTATATACTACTTTCATGCAGAAATACGACCACTATTGGGTGTTCCACTAGGGTTGAAAGACCAAACAAACCCCCCTGCCTAGCGCGGCCAATTTTTTAGGGGACGTCATAAGGTAGAACATTCTCGTCAACGACATTTTGCCTCTGGGTGCCGCTGCTCCGTTAAAAATATTCAGATTCAACCGTTCGCACCCAGGGTGTGATAACATCACCGGATTCCGGCCGTTTCGTTGGCCGATGTTTCGCGGGTTGGCCATAGTTTGTGACGGGGCCACAGATCCCAGTCGCCCAAGTACGAGCGGCGGCAGGTGCCCAAGAGGGTCGCTACAGAAATCAGAATTTCGGCGGAGGGCCCCTCGGTCTCGGCACAAAATGTTACAAGATGGCCGGGCAGGGACGGGGAGAGAAGGGAGGCGCGGGGCAGCGGTTCTCGTCTGTGTGCCAACATGGTAGAGGAAAGAGTAAAAAGTAACGGAAAAGACAGGGGGGGGAGGGGCTTCTCAGCGTGGACACCACTAGGCAAACCTGGTATAAATGCGGGCCATTCGAGGGGAGACGGGTCGAGGACCAGGCTCAGTCTGGGCCGAGTTACATTTTCAGAATTTTTTTGCCGCTCCGCCGGAGTTCAAGCAGGGGGTGATTTATTTGGGGGTATTTGTAGAAGTTAGTTTTGGTTTTTGTGTACTACCTCTCTTTTTAAAATCTTTGTTATAGGCAATGTGAAAGTCGGTTTTTCCAAAAACTTTTGTAGGTTTTTGTTTCCCCCCCCCCCCCTCCTCTTTCCCCCCCCCCATCCCTTGCGCTTGAAAACGTAGTTTTTTTTGGGGGGTTTCCCTCTTTTTTTTGGGGCCTTCTGGCCCCCCCTTTTTTAAAAGTTTTGGGTTGAAAAGTGCTGGAAAATTTTATTTCCAACCATTTTTTATAACTGTTTTTGACGATTTTTGAAATCTACAATTTTTATAGTTAATCTACCTCTCTTAACGATTTTTTAAGGCTTCTCTGACCTTTAGGATACCTAAGCCCTTGCAATACCCGCTTCGTTTTTACTACCCACCCAATCTGGGCCATATTTCCCCCGCAGGTGTAACGGTCGTCGTTTTGTGACTTTCCCCCGGTGTCCTGCATAATTCAAGGGGGTGGATTATATTTCCGCCATTCTCGATGGGTGTACAAAAAGCAGACCCCCGACCCCCGGGCACCCACAAACACGGACAATTGCTGACAAAGATACAGCAGCAGCACTGAATTATTGCTGGCTGTATACAACTGAATATTTGCTACTGCTACTCAAAAATTACGCTGGGATAACAGGATCGTTACTGTAAGTGTGGCCCTTTTCGGGGGTTTTCCTGGAGGCGAAATGTTGCAGCTTATTTTTCGGCGGCAACTAAAATTCTGCCTTTATTTTTCCATATGGCTTTTGTAAATTTGCTATATAAATTTAAAATTTAAGTTAATTTTTGAATCGAAGTTTTCATAGTTATAAGTCCTAAAAACGCTTTAAAAATACATTCTATTTTTTTAGCGCGTAGGTATAGGCGAAAAATAAAAATTGGTTTCGACGCGAAACCCCCCCCCCCTCCGCTAGCACCCCAGTACCCATACAGCCTTATCAGCCTTTCCGGTAGCCAGATTGCAATTATCTGGTCCCCGGAAATCAGCGGGGGAGAGGATTGCGCAAGCAGCTGTAATGAAGCTGGGAAAATCCCAAATTTAAGGCCAGATTTCGGAGTGCGAAAAAGGCCCAAAAAGGCTCCATATATGTTTATTAAGGCTTTTAACGCAATTTTGTGGCCCTGGTTACAAAAATTTCGGCACTTCTGTTGAAAAAAACTAGCCTCAATTTTTCTGTTTTTTTTAGATAACTTGGAGGACACTTTAAATTCGGAGTTTATAGGGAGAAAAAGGCCTAAATATCGTAATGTCAGTTATGTAATTACGAAATTCAAGAAATTCTTGGTGCTCAGTCGCCCTCCTGGTTCGAATATTGTTGATCCCAAACCCTACACTTCAACCACACGCTTTTTCACTCATTTCGCCAGTCCCCGTCATTCTTATCATCCGGAATTCCGTGCCTCCATTGAATTCGCGCAACCACGAGGATCAATATGATACCACTTTCCAGACGTCATCCCCTACCCCCCGATACAACGACGAGTGAACGATCCCTACCCCCTTCCCCTCCCCTCTGTAGATGCCTCCGAATGCGAAGGAGGACCCCCTGGAGAGGGGCTTCGACTCTCCATGGCGGGCCTCACAGAAGAGCACCGTTGTCGCTGTGCCGGCTACGGTAAGTGCGGGCAGGGTTTCCGGGGGAATAAAGATTTCTTATTTTTTACCTACAGCAATGCTTTTTATGAATGCTAGTTAGTATAGCGGGTCTTTCGCATTATTTAAAACATCCCAAAATCGCAAAATGTAGATTCTTTTTTCGAATCCACCGAGATAGACCGTCAAAAAATATACTAAAATTTCGAATTGCAGCTCAAAAAAGGAACTTAAGATGATTATACCAAGAAGAAGCAAAGCGATGGTTCGAACATCGGTCTTACCAATTCAATGACAATTTAACAAGGAAAACCTAGCATTAAAATAGCATTCGGAGGAATCAGGTACCCGCGTACCTAGACCATAACTTAAAATTATTGTCCGTTATTAGGTGATCCCTCCCGACGATGACGACGAGGACGGGCCCAAAGTCATGTACACGCCGACGTTGGCCGAGAAAATTATCAATATTTTGTTGTGCCGGTATGTTTTTTGGACTCTTAAGGAATAGTATACCTTTATGAACCCTTTAAATGGACTGGAAAGCGCCAGAATCGACCCGTAGAATCCATTAGGTATCGATAGGTTCGGTCATGTCAAAAGACAATTCTGATACTTTTTCATGCGCCTTTTGGAGTGCTGCGTAGCTAGTGGGCTCAAGGGGTCGATTCCCGAGAATTCTAGCGAGGGTCGAAGAGATATTTTGGGTAAAAATCAAAGGAATTTGCCCATTTTTAGTTGTGACCTGGCTTGGTAAGCTTATAGCTACGAATATTCAGCTTTTTATAGCATAGAAACATCCGCTTGCTTGACTTTTTGCTTATTCTCTATCCAAATCCACACCAATTCCCCAATTTCAGCGGCGATCTCGCGAACCAGCAGCTCGAAGTGAAGCCGGTGTCTGTTCCCGGATTGGTAAGAGAATTTACACTTTCCGGAGATCGCCAAAAATCAGGGAAAGATCACAAAAAGTACAAATACACGCCACAAACTCCACGACTACCGTTTCCGCTCAATTTTTCGGGGGGCAAGTGAGCAAACGGACACATTGTAGGGGTCGGCATTTTCCGGTGCTCATACCGTCTAATCCCCCGGGTACTTCTCGGCAACCCGGGCGGCCGGCAGGGGGAGAACGGTGTTTGCCTTGTTTCCATGTTTCTCTCTCTCTCTCTCTCTCTCTCTCTCTTCTCTCTCACTCTCTCTCTCTCCTCCCCCCCCCCCCCCCCCCCCCCTCTCTCTACTCTCGCCACTTTTCCAAAAAATAATAGAGACCCGCCGCAGCGCCACAGACTACTGCCGAAACCTCTCAGAAACCCCAAAATTTGAAAGGGGCCCCTCGCGGCCAACTGTTTGCCCCCGGTTTTCCGGAGATGAACGACGGGTCAACCGTTTAAAGGGGCCGGCTAGGAGGGGATCAAAGTAAATAAGACTCTCTTGAAAGTTAGATTATCAAAATTGGGTACTATTCTGTTAGCGGGGGGAGCATAGTAGTGGTTTTCTCCTTCCTTTCCGTCCCCCCACCCAAAATCAAATTTTTTTGTTTTTTTTTTTTTTTTTTTTTTTTTTTTAATATAAATTTTTTTCTTTGGGTTTTTAAAAACAAAAATCTATTCAAAACGCGGAAAGAAGTAAATAGCGCATAGAAGTAAATTTTCTGAAGGCCCCCCAATAACAGCACAGTACCCGAAAATTCCAGAATTTCTTTAAAGTTTTGAAAGTTTTTTTTAACTTTCAGAATTTCCTTTTCCAGTTCCGCTACTGCACAAAATGGGACTACGTCGCGCTGACGGTCGGCATCATATGCTCGATTCTGTCAGGTACGGTATTGAAATTAAAGGCATGAATCCGTTGCAGGAATCGCGCAGCCG